GCCTGCCCCGCCTGCTGGGCCACCGAGCAGCCGCGTTTCCCTGCCCGACCCGCGGGCGTCGGACGCTGGCTGCTCCCGGCCACCCAGCCGGCCTCGGGTCTTGCGTCTGCGCTGTGAAGTCTTCACGGAACTAATTAGTTGAGGTGTAATTGGCATAGTGAGGCGAGCTGCGTTTCCTCTCGCTCCCCTCCTGGCCTGCGTCCGCCGACCTTGCCGGACAGCAGTGCCAGACCCCAGACTTCGGAGCGGACGGCGTCCAGCGCCCTCTGCTGGCTCCTCCGCTCCCCTGTGCGGCCCGTTGCGCCTCTTGGAATCTGTCCCTGGCCCGGATAGACGCAAAGCAAAGGGCCCAATGAACGCCACTGGGCTTTCATGGCGAGAGGGGAAACAGCTTCCCTGAAAAGCTCTGATATTCCAGCTCCCTGCTCAAGGGCTCTGGGCGTGCGTTTGGTCCGTGTGCTCGAGGGAGGCGGTGGTGACATCTGTCTGGGATACTGTCGGGAAGGTGGAGAAGGACGGGGCTGCAGGGAGAGGTGAAGGTGGGGCGGGGAAGCCAGAAGAGGACAGTGAGCTCTCGGGGCAAGAGACAGGGCTGGGCGAGGCTGGGGAGGAAACAGAGAGTCCTCGGGGATTGGAGGGGGAAGAGCGCCGCTGGGGTGGCGTTAGGAGGATTGGGGTAGGAGGAGGGGTCAGGCTAGGGGAGGGAGAGTGAGGTGGGAAAAGACCTCGGGGAAAGTGAAGTGAGATCTCGGAGAGTGGGGGTGGCCGACGGCACCCACGCGGCGCGGACGCGGGGAGCAGCGTGTGAAACCCAGCCTAACGCCCTCCTTCTCTTCTGCCGTCCTAGGACATGAGGAGGACATGGAGACGGTGAGTCCCACTTATACTGTTCCTTCCTTGCCTCCTTCCCAGCGGGGCCCACATCTTTGTACCCACTTACAGGCGAGTTCTGGGGGTGGTGGCCTCACCTCTTCCTGCTCCAGAGAACCCAGTGGGTTAGGAGTGGGGGACAGCAGAGTCAGCTTTGGAAGGCAGAAGGCTATCTAGTGACTTCCTGACCCTCCCTCACCTGTCCAGGTTTGATGTCCCCACGCCCAAGCCATCTAACTCAGAGGAAGATCTCCCTGAAGATTACCCAGTGGTCAAAAACATGCTTCATAGACTGACAGGTATGAGGGAAGAGGGGCGGGAACTCAGTGAGCATCTGTATTAGGTGTGCTCTCTTTTAGCTCCTGAAAATGTGCACCCTGGCTGGGTGTACTGAAAAATGCCTAAAATCCCAGCACTCTGGGAGGCTGAGGCAGGAGGATTGCAAGTTTGAGCCAGCCTGGGTGACTTTATGATTTAGACCCTGTCTCAAAATAAAAACAAATTTTTAAAAAGCCTACAATGTACCTCAGTGCAAAGGCCCTGGGCTCAATCCCTAGTACTGAATAAATAAACCAGTCTAAAAATTTACAGATGTACATCCTTTTGAGTTCTGTTTCCTAGAACTGCTGTATCACAGTGCCATAATCTAGACGGTTTAGCCACATTATTGCCTCACATTTTAGAGGTAAAACTCTGAAATCAAGGGATCGGTAGTGTTGGCTTCTAGGCAGCTGAGGGCTGCCTTTGTAGGCCTCAGCGATTCCTTGGTTTAAACAAAACCTACTGTCTTCATTCTGTATGCATTTGCTTCTGCACTAACATTCCCACTTTTTAAGGGCAACAGTCATACCGGATTAGAGCCCACCCTCATCTAAAGTTTGCCTGTGTGGGCCGGGTGTGGTGGCACACACCTGTAATCCCAGCACTCAGGAGGCCAAAGCAGGAGGATCCACAAGAGTTTGAGGCCAGCCTGGGCTACATAGTGAGTTCAAGGCCAGCCTGAACTATTCACTGGAGACCCTGTCTCAAAAAACAAAACAAAGGGCCAGGGATATAGGTCAGGGGCACAAGCGCCTGCCTGGGGAGCACAAGGTCCTGAGTTCAATTCCCAGTACCAAAGGAAAAAAAATACGAAGTTCACCTATTTCCAAATAAGGTCAATTCTGAGATATTAAGGGACTTCATCGTATCGGGGGCGTTGTTCAACCTAGAGCCACATCCAGCCTCGCCCAGTTCTCATAGTGCAGCCGTCTCCCCCCTTGTCACACCCCCAGAGCATGGGGTGGTCTCCTGCCTCTCTGGACCCTTTGCTTCCAGCTCTGGTCCCTGCCTCCAGGAGGCGGTCAGGACGCCCTGCCGGTTCCCTCCTTTCCGCCCTCGCCCACCCCCAGGGCTGCTCTCACCCTTCAGAGTGGCCGGTCCGCGCTGCTTCTGGAACTCGGGCTAGAGACACGGTACATCGAGGCAGCGGCTCGCTCCTCTGCTCCCTCCCTCCGGCTCCATCTCTCTGCTCTACCCACCCCCAGCCTCCACTCGCGTGTGGGAGGTGGGCTGGTTGTTACTTTGGATTCCTCTCTGCCCCTCCCTGCCGTCACCCGGGTTCTGGTGTCAAGTGTCAGTCGTTCTCTAAAGCCAGGCGTGTCCTGCTGACCCGGCTCCGGCCCACCCCCGACGCTGCAGATCTGAGTGCCAGTCCTGCTTCCTCCCGGGGCAGGCAGCTCAGCCTCTCTTCCGCTGCCTGTGCTCTCGAGCTGGGCCTGCACGTCCCCCCCGGGTCCACGTAGGCCCCTGTGCTTTCGGCCGGAGCTCCGGGGCTGTCCCCGCCCCGGCTCGGAAACCTCCCTCACGGTCCTCTCCTGCCTCCCCAGCCGACCTGACGCTGGACCCGGGCACCGCGCACCGCCGCCTGCTCGTCTCCGCCGACCGCCGCGGCATCCGCCTGGCCCCACCCGGGACGCCC